GACCCTATCGTAGGTGATCCGTCGGGCCTCAGCCATAAAGTGTGTCTTGTCCAACTGCGTGTATAAGAGTGGAGAAACAATCAAGGCCCAAACAATGAGGTGACTCATGAAGAAGCAAACACTCACTGCATACAAATCTGGGAGACGAATCAGCCGCTGGATGGCTGTCCAACTCAGGCCAGAGACTACACGGTCATTGAGCCACTGATCTACTCGTTCAGGGGAACGGCAGAGCTGCATGTCTTTGTAGGTGTAGGGATTGTGGTTGTGTTCCCAGAACCACACCACCCGAAGAGTGTTGCTTGCGATGTGGTGGGTAATAACAAACCTGGATGAGCACCCACACTTTCGTAATTGATGATGCTTACGAGAATTGGCTGCTCGTTTGAAGTGACCATGGCGGGGACACTTGTACTCCAACTTAAACACAAACTCTGGTCTACGTCCACTTCCTCTGGAAACATTGTCGATGGCCAACTTCTTGGTGTTGTCTGTTCCTTTCTGTCGGATCCACTGGATTGTTCCCTGCATGGCACAAACAAAGTCTTCGGCAGCTGAAGGGGTGTTACCGGGAATTGTAAAGCGGTGAGGATTGGTGGGGAATGAGGGGGGTGTTGCATGAAGGTTCCGGACAAGTCTGAGTGCATTTGGAGGGATTTGAACACCATCGGGAGCAGGTTGCTCTTGGGTGAAAGGAAGTGGAACACATTCGTAGATGTTTTCAATAAAGGGGTATGCATTCGAGGTTGTTGACTGGGTCATCATGGAAGAGTTGTTTGGTCTTGAGATCAAGAAAAAGCGATGGAATGGAATGTGTTCAAAAGCCAGAAACCTGGAAGTAACGCTAAGAGCACAATGAAAGAAAAGTAAATAAAGTGGTAAAGGCTCCAGGCCGGTGCTTTGTTCAAAAGAAGCTGGAAAAATGGTGGGAGATGCGGTCAAGCAACAGGCAAAGAGGAAGCTTTTATAAAAAAAGCACCTCTCTTGATGGGAAGCATACTTAGAAAATAGCCTCCTGCTCCTCCTTGGTTTAAATCGAATTTGGACAAGCATTCCTATTTTTTCCCAATAGGAGAGTAGATGCTCATGTGTACTAGGGTTGCACTGGTTGTGGCAACAATCTGGACGAGCATTGATCTTTGCTAGAGCTCATCGTCCGCTCCTGGGACACTAGCAAATGTGAGGATCATGGTCTTACAAGTTTTTTTTTACATGGGTTAATGAAGGCAACGAGTAATGGCTGATTTACTCGCGTTTGGATTCAATTATCGCCTAGAAGCTATTCACAGCTGCACTTATAACGATTAAAACAGACCCATCTCATAAAAGATTATGAGTAAATACATGCATGTTTTTCCTGATCTTACCTATCTTTAACTTAAAAGCATAAAATGATATTTAGTCTCTGATTTTTTAGTTAGTCTTTTTGAGATTTCTAGCTCTCAGGTCTTACAAATCAACCATCAGGCTTTGCCTTTATGTTTACAGATTCTATAATAATGGGCTAATGACTTATGATACAATATTTGGTTCATGTCTTTAGCAATCATATTAGCCATTATCCTTTGGTGGTAAATGTGCACCTCTTTCAAAGATTACTCCCATTCTTATAGCTATACATTGGAGTAGAGTAGTTTCATGTTTGAGGCATATTCCTGCTTGTCAATACACTTTTTGAGTGCATCACTTTGGTTAAAACTTTCAAATAAACCCTTCACTTCAAAAATGGAAAAATTTCCACCATTTTTAACAGAGAATCTTTTTCATCCTGCTGCATGCTAATGTGCTACAATGCAATTCATTCAAAAGCATCTCAATTCAACTGGTGCAACCTTGAACTTTTGCCAAGAATCCTGAAAACATTTTCTTTTCTCATTTAGATCAAACATTAATCCCTTTTTCCTTTACTGATTTTTCTTTGAAAATTCTTCAGGGGAATGAAAATTAAATAGGCATATGCTAAGAATTGCTCTTCCCCACAAAGCCCCTTGGTACCATCCCAAGCAATCTGGTAGCTGAGCACCAAGCTGCTGGTGCCAAAGATTCAAATGGGCTTCATCTAATGTCTGAATTTTTGGTCCAAGTCCAACATACATGCAAAATTCAGGTCCCTGATTTCTTTCCTTGGAACCTGTTGGCAAGAAACAGAGGGCTGGGGGTAATTCTGGGGTCTGTTTTTATTTACACCAGGGGAAATCTCAGGGCACTGGCCACTGCCAGTGACTGCATAACAAATTTATTTTGAAAATCAACCAAAAAAAAACACAATTTTGAGGCACTGAATTGAAAGGATATACATCAAGAGCAAACTGGTCATCAAATTTAAATAAAAAACTCTTACATTTAATTGTGTCACCCTCAAATTATTTTTTTCCCAGCTTAATCTAGCAACATCAGAAATTTGAGTCATAAATTTACCATAATTTCTGTGACTGATTGTGGTTAACACCAGGGTACTTACCAAAATTCATCACCCCTTGCACATGAGTAAAATACAGAGACTTGAAATTTAGACACAGTTGAAGTGTGTCTGTGACACTGCAGATCTATTTCTGAAAGCTTTACATAGAAGTGCTTGATTTAATTTGATTGTAATTCAATTCTGAGTCAGTCATTCTAGAAAAAAAAACTGCTGATGCCATTCAAATTATCATATATTCTGGTGTTTCTCTCAGTTTCATAAGCAAACAAACAGGGGAAAACCATGTGTCAAGATCAGGGAAAGTTGGAGGAAATTGAAAATCTTTCTTTGGAAATTGAAAATAAATTCAGTGTAACACCCAGTGAGTTTAAAATGAAATTTGTCATTTTTTCATGGTACTTCCAGTGATTTAATTTCTTTTTTTTTTTCAATCTTTTGAGGTGACTGAGTTGA